ATAAATATAATACTTTTACCGCAAAAACGGCATTCCTGTAAGATTGTCAGTTGCTAGTGGAGACCTCGCGATGATTTCAGTTGAGTTGACATGGCTACCTCTTAACTGTTTTAAAAGGGAGACAAATTAAAACCGATACACTGAATTCGCTAAGGCAACTTTTTATTATGTTTGCAAATATTTTCTCAGTAATTGATGCTTCCAAGCGGTGACGTATTTCAGATGATGGTTCTAATCGGGCGTGGATTTGATAACATTACAGGAAATAGAACATGATTCCCAATCGATATTTTACAGTTTAGGTGATAGTATTCATCGGCAAAGATAGTCTAATCTTTGCTCATATTGACCTGCTTGTGTGTGTGACTTTCAAACTTTCATCTTCCCATAAACTGTTATGCCATTTTAAAATTGTTGAATTCGATGTAAATGGTGCTCATTGAATATCGTTTATTCCAATTAATGTTCCTTCTACTTGAAATATCGGAGACATAAAATACTTAAAAATTCAAAAAGGTATAAATGTCCTCATATAAAATCAATAAATCAACTTCTAATTTAATGTTATGCCTTGACTTCTGCCATATTACCTACCTATTTAGTTTTTGAATTTTTGAAGAGTTTTGAACGTGAAATCATTTACCTGATAACAATTACGCGACCTAATATGTGTACAAAAAAGCTTTTCATCCTTTTTAAAAAAGACAATTGATTCCTACAGCATCTGTTACATAAAAATATCGAAAACATATGATGGAAACACACTTATGCGAACCATCAGATGATCGTCTGGATTAATGAGTGTTTGATTTAACAAATGGACACAATAATGGAAATCACAAGCAACATCTATAGTTTATCTTTCTTCTTTAAAAGATTATGGACTTCTTTTAATATTAAACCCAAATCGCTTAAATTACCAAAAATGACACATCATTGTCGTTTGTGATCCATTCATATAAGTTTCACAACTAGTTTGCCTTTCAGTCCCTATGGAACCGGCAGGTAATGGTTCCAGCAGATTGTCGAGACTGATTCTGGTCTGGCGTTGACGTTTTGAATCTGAGTGTTTACTACATCATGTCCGAGTACCCTGTCAAACTGTCCTATATTCGCATAACATGATTCTCTCCGGGTCATAGACAGATACTCGACACAGATGGATCCGATGTCCCCCAGCTTGCAGGGGCTCAAAGAGTTCCTTCTCCTAGAAGCATACGCTTGAACCTCTTCATTTGCCTTTTATCTTTGAGTTTCGTGAACATGCCTGCTGCATGACATTTGATGTTTACCGTTAGGGCATGTCGTGTATCGGCTGCGAAGTGGTCTGTCAGTTCATAACACATATGTTTCGCAAAATGTTTCCACAGCGTTAGGACATAACAGTGAGTTAACAGTCTGGTACGACATAACAGTGAGTTAACAGTCTGGTTCCACGCTACGCTATGGTGGGGGTACCAAAATGGGCTTCACACATTGTATAAATGTGGGAAATCGAACCCTCGTGTGTCCGCGACACTGCTTAATCGTCATTTGAAGGCAATATTCTTATACAGTAAACTACGGTTATAACGAACACGCTTATAACGAACTGACGGATAAAACGAACTTACTTTTTGGTCCCGACTACTTGTTGTAGTCATGCTGTATATGTACTTATAACGAACTACGGTTATAACGAACTAAAATTAGTAGTCCCTTTGAGTTCGTTATAACCGTAGTTTACTGTAGGTTAATCATTGAAATCGCAGTGTTAATTGTCGTTTAACATATGTTGTAGGTATACCTATCCTCAGCATGATATAAGTAAAACGTGTTAAAGCCATCGACCGTAAATGAATCAAATTACACTGTTCTATACAACGTTCCTCGTCCGCACCATACCCGAGAGTTGTGGATGAGGATGCTTACCCTTTTCACGAACATCTTTTAGTGATCCATTGATATAATTTTCACCGCTATTTTGCCTTTTATGCACAATGGAGTTTGTTTGGGCGGATAATCGAGACTGGTGATGTTTGGCCATTGATGGTTTATGATTACCAAAGCGGTAAACAGTGATATTCTACAATGCCCTTTGTTCTACCTGACAGTGTATCTGAAAACGCATGGGTCAATGCATCCTGCAAACACATACAAAGTGAAATGGTCAAATGTATCAGGCCAAAATGTCATTACATGTTTGTCACTCAAATCTTGACTGCCCTGAGATAAGTGATCATCACTGTTCCCTCGAAGTATAAGATAGATATTTAACTAAATAACATTTCCAAATCCAAAAGCCTGGTCTACAAATAGATGCATTCGTATTTCATCACGAAGGCTTTCTAAATATCCTTTGCTTGATAGCATTTTGACATGAACGACGTACACTTTACAAACACATAATGTATTCTCTTAATGTGGCGCATCTGCGGTTCCTAGAGCCATAACACCTCTACATACTTACCAAAAGAGCAACTTTGGAAAGTATTAGATTTGGGTAGTTTCCAGCAGACATAAAATAGCATTAGCAAAAGTGTGGGCTGCTCATTTGTAAAGTGAAAAGCATATTGAGGGTAAATAAATGGCTTATGTAGAGACTTGGATCGACTCCTAAGCATTTACTCCCCTTGAAAGCATGGCACATTTCCTTATACGACCATTTGATCTGATACTTTAAATCAAATATCGCACCAAAATCCTTGGCATTAACAATACGTTGAGTTAAAGGTAGCACTGACTTAACCTTATTATCGCGTCACCCTAGGGACTCCCAGCATCCCGTATACTCCATATTTATTGCAAAGTGCGAGTGAGCTTTTTATATCAAGCCAGGCGCATCACAATGGATTACAACAGATGCGTCTTCATACTCTGTACCCATGTTGGAAATAGAACCACGCCCTTCGACGTCACGAATTAGCTACCTCGCCGTGTCTCAGCTAATGATGATCGGGCGGCTAATATGACAGACAGACAGACATACACTCTGTGTGTGTGTGTGTGTGTGTGTGTGTGTGTGTGTGTGTGTGTGTGTGTGTGTGTGTGTGTGTGTGTGTGTGTGTGTGTGTGTGTGTGTGTGTGTGTGTGTGTGTGTGTGTGTGCGTGCGTGCGTGCATACATGCACGCATAATAATAGCTGTAAAATGAACTTTATTGAAATACATATTATAAAATAAACAAGACTTCGTGCGCAAAGGGACGTATGTATTGTTTGTTAATTTTAACCATACAAAAATTAATTAATTTAATAAATATAAATATAAAAAAATAAAATAAATTTTAGCATAAAATATATAAAATACTAAAATAGAATAATAGTAAAATACCACAGTTGTTCCCGATATATAATATCAACATAGTTACAAAACTGTTAAATTAATCCAACGAGGGTTTAGTACTTTATCATTTAATAATATGACCCTCACAACCTTACAATGGGCTAGCCTTTTGAAGGAGCTACCATTTTCACTCTGTGAATATGACATGCAACTGAAAACACTTTCCAAATGTCAAACTGCGTCGTCAATACATCATAAACAACACTTTTGTGTTGGTGTCATTTAAAAATAATATATAATTACTGAAAATGCGGGTTGTGAAAATGTGTGGAAATATTAACCGCTTTCGGAAATTCTGACACCGGGACTAAATTTCCACACAAATAATTGGCCAATTTGTAAATATCATGTGCAACTCATCTCGTAACATGATGATGTTAACATTTTTGGATCATGGCTGCACAGTTCGTTCTATGGGGTAAATATTTTATTAGTTACATAAATTAATAACCCAGATATAATGTGTCAGTGTAAACAAACTTATCACCATAACTACACCACCATCAACATTCGGGGAGAAGTGAGCGAAGCTCGTGCAATTTTGTCATGTATTAGGCCTACGACCAAGTACATGGGGTGTTTTTTTAGGTGCATAATTGACTTGCCTTTGCATGTGTTTGTGACGTGTACCACCGGTGGGATAGAACACGCTCACCTTTTCGCCTGTTATAATCGCTTTTTGATAGAGATTCATAAGAGACATGGTATGAAGATCAGGTCTTCAGCAACCCATGTTTGCTGTAAAAGGTGACTATGTTTGTTGTAACAGGCGACTAAATGGATCGGGTGTTCAGGCTCGCTGACTTGGTTGAAGCACGCCATCGTATCCCAATTGCGCGGATCAGTGCTCATGATATTAATCAGTGGATTGTCTGGTTCAGACTCGATTATTTACAGACCGCCGTCAATAGCTTGAATATTGCTGAGTGCGCCATTAAACAACAAACAAACAAATCATGAAAGACATACTCATGATATAGTCGGAATTTATACATTCAAATCTGTTATGTTGCTATTATGGAAATGTTTTTTTTGTCGCTTTTATTCTAACACTAGTTATTAGATGGATGGGGGCTGTCGGGTAGCCTAGTGGTTAAAGCGTTCGCTCGTCACGCGGAAGAACCGGTTTCGATTCCCGACATGGGTACAATGTGTGAAGCCCATTTCTGGTGTCCCCCGCCGTGATATTGCTGGAATATTGCTAAAAGCGGCGTAAAACCATACTCACTAACTCACTATTAGATTGATGACATCATAAAATGACTCTTTTCGGGAACACCTGGCGTCATCAGTGATGTTAAGTGAGCCATGTACATAAATTCCACCACTATTTTGCCATTTAAGCCCAGTCGAATCTGTTTCGGCCGATAAGCGAGACTAAACTTCTCTGGCGTTGACGTTTTATATTTCTCTCTCTCTCTCTCTCTCTCTCTCTCTCTCTCTCTCTCTCTCTCTCTCTCTCTCTCTCTCTCTCTCCCCTCTCTCTCTCTCCCTCTCCCTCTCCCTCTCCCCTCTCTCTCTCTCTCTCTCCCCCCCTCTCTCTCTCTCCCCCCCCCCCTCTCTCTCTCTCTCTGTGACTCATTGATTATTTATTGTGTCTGAATATTACTGACTGTGCGTAAAAGAACATGTACTCACTCATTGATGTCGCTCATAATAATAACATTGTGTTTACAGTGTATGGCTTGTGGTCCCGGTGGTAGCGGGCAATGTGTAGGACCGAACATTTGCTGTGGGAGTGACATTGGATGTTATTTTGGAACCCAAGAAGCCAGTATTTGCCAAAAGGAAAACGAAAGCACCACGCCATGTGTAATACGGGGGTCAGCCTGTGGGTCAAGAGGTCAAGGTCACTGTGTAACCGATGGAGTGTGCTGTGATGAAGGTGAGTTTTTCTGTCAACAGTTAGGAGGGGTCGGGTAGCCTTGTGGTTAAAGCGTTCGCTCGTCACGCCGAAGACCCGGGTTCGATTCCCGACATGGGTACCATGTGTGAAGCCCATTTGTGGTGCCTCCCGCCGTGATATTGCTGGACTATTGCTAAAAGCGGCATAAAACCATACTCACTCACTGGCAACAGTTACGGTTCCTTGTCTTTACATTGAAATTATTTTCTTGCGTCCAATCTTATCAAAATCCGAGTTTAAATTCATCTATATAATATTTGAAAAAGGGTAGCTCAGTGGGATAAAGGGGAATTACATCCCTTTGCTATCCGATTCAGTTGGTCGTGGGTTCAAACCCAAGATTCACCCCTAGTATTGATCTGTTAGCACCATGCCCGCATTCGTGGGTTTCACCAAAGTGGTAACAAATACCACCCAACCATCAGGTCGAAATATCGTAATATAACAGAAATTGTGCTTAAAGCGACATAAAACCGCCTTGAAACTTTGCTAATGTGGCCTCATGATTTGATTTCATTTTACAGAGGCGTGTTCCTTTAACTCACGATGTGATGTTCGAGCAAGTGATCGGCAGACGTCCAAAGCAGATTTGATTAAACTTGTTCAACAACTTCTTCGCTCAAAAAACTACGACTGAGAGAAATAATGCTGCGTCGCTATATTATGTGACGAGCTCGAGAACAGAGAGTGACAAAGACTCCGCGTATACTGCCAAACACAGGAAAAGACAACCACCTACACGCTCGCCTTGGCGTACCCCTGCATTTACATCATTCATGTGTGACGATGGAGATTAATATATATATTTAAAGAAGCGTTATCATATAGATGGCATTCTTGAATCAAGGAAATATACAGCTTACATCACATTGCTTTGTTTTAGTATTAATTGCTTTTGATTGAATGTTTCAGGGTAAAATAATTAAATTCATATATTAAATAAAATTGTATACATTATTTATATTTATAGTGGATGGATTCTTTAATCTTGTTTTCATTTATTAGACTAATGACGTATTTGTGATGAGAAAAAAAAAGGCACCGCCGAATACTAGATATCCCAGGATAAAAAATACGTGTATAAGCCTTCCTATGTTTCCTTGATTTTTGGTACCAAACATACATCACATATGAATCATGCGCATTATTTCTCTCTACAGACCAGTAGATTATATCGCCCCTAGATAATCTGTATTTGGTTGTACTGTACTGAACGTATTTGAGATGACCCCGTCAAGGACTTGTTGTCGGAACCCTACACAAAGACGATAGCAGACCCCCTATCATATGGACTGATAAGAATATGAAATTTGTTGTAACACGCAGGTTATGTTACTACAAGCTCTCAAGGTCAAGAGAATTATCGGCGATAAGCGAATATTAAGACGTGATGATTTTAGTTTTAAAAAAAAGTGTTTTGTCCGAACCATACAGTGTTTAACATACAGCATCAATAAAGATTCTTTATAGAAGCAGCCCACGTTTTTATTTATTACATATTAGATGGCTTTGTTATAAATCGCAAAGAACATTGAGCGAAGCATGGTTTATTTCACGATAAAACATCGTTCTATCATGACGTCATTTCTGGGGATTCGAACATGCCCTCGCAACTTAATAACGTCGTAAATTGGACGCCATTATTTTTGAGAGGGGAGTGTCTAGTGAGTTGTTCCCACAGATGTAGCTGGATTTCGTAGATAACCGCAATGGCCGAACAATCGCGTCCAAAAGTGGGGAGATATGACAATCGGTATTGGGAGAAAAGGTGCAGATAATCGACGTGATAATTGTGAGAATATCCGGGAAATACCAAATTTAAAACCCCTGTTCATAAAATGGACTTGTCCGACATTGCCGAGGTCGGGTTTTATTCAGGGAGTCATCATTATTTAAATACGGATATATATTTTTAAAGCTTGTACATTTTATTAACGTCCAAGAGGCTTTACATAATGTTGATATCTCTCATTTGTGACATGTGACCGAGTTTTATTGTACAATAAAACACTGCCGGGAGAATAAACCACGAAGGCGCAGTAATCTACACCTGTCTAATCACAGATTAATCAACATTGTCGTGTCAGTGAAAACAATCTTTTCCATGGTTTAAATAAGGTGGAACTTTGTTCACACTTTCCCACGTTCCAAAATAAACTTTGTCAAGAGGTGACGGGACCAACACAGGAAATGGCATGTTTGGGGGCAAGGTCGCTAGGTCAGCGCAGTGATCTTATTGGTTGATCAGAACACACCTTCAGGAGTCGTATGGAGGTATCTTTCAGTAACATTTTCAGCGTCCGTGATTGTTAAAGACGTGTTTTGCTATAATCGCAAAAATCAATAAATCATTTCAGATATTTGTATAGCAAAATATACGAACCACTTGACAGGAAACGAAGTTTAACTGCCAGCTTCAATACGGCTGGATGGCATTCTTGCGTATTAGTTTCCTGCTTTTGGATCTTTGGCTGGACTTTCGGTAATAGATCGTCAAAACTTTACAAAACGAATTGTAATTAGACTGTTCATCCTCAATTTCAAATTCTTGAATTGGATTGGTGTATGCGCCATGAATGTCGCGACGGAGACAACTTCTCTTTTTCTTGGCTTTGGCATTGCCGTCTTCTTCACATAATATCAATCGTCTGCTTCAGACATTTTGATACAATGGAAACAAATTACCGCGAGATATTATGAGATCGACACTCAATCCGCAGATCGAATCGTGTGAGTGGAAGCAAATCGATTAGTCGATATTCGTTACAACCACCGAACATGTTGTACACAGTATGGAAATCGGCAGGTCGTTACGACGTGCCGATCCGTGTGACTATATCTCATTCAGGAACATTCCAAGACTATCATGGTATATCAATCATAGGCGATTGCGGAGTTTTGTCATGACCTTGACCTTCACTCACTGGTACATATCGGTAAGGTACGACACACTCACCCGTTCCACGTACTCCTGGTGTAACCATGGTAACTAAACTGTGATAATTGAGTTAAAGATTTTCAATGTGTCCTGTCCATATTTGGGGGAATCTGGTGTGCCTTTTGATAATCGACCCTTGGTGTCTTTCGAGAAGATTTTGGCACTGAAACAAATGACTAACACCGTATCTCACATCGTTGCTTTCTTTAATCCTGGCGAATATAAGATACAGCTGGACAATGTGGTATATACCCTTTCCTAAAAAGATAAACTGGATGTTTTGAACTCGTGTTTATAGTTACCACTAACAATGAAGATTTCAAACTGAAGACATATTGTACTTGTACTGGCGTTAAAATACAATTACAATCAAAACAACATTCGACAAATTCAACATTGTCGACGTATGTAAATAAAATATTTGCATATACATACAATTCTTTTTCAAACATGTAAATGTCACTTTTTAAAGTTTTGCAAAACTAATGTTCTATGTTTCCTTCAAAAGTCTTTGATCACAGTCATATCTATTTCCGACCGCCTCCGTGGTCTAGTGGTATTTCGGGGTTCGATTCACGACCGCGTCATACCAAAAGACGTTAAAAGATGGTACTTGTTACCCTGTCTGGCGCTCGGCATTAAGGGGCTAAAACAAGGACTGGTCGGCTCGGAGTCAGTATACTGTGTCTGAATGGGGTATCCATGTTAAACTGCGGCATGGTATCTCAGTGTGCTAGCACTATAAATCGGCATCGGTCCGGACAAGTACAAGCAGCCACACAAACACACACACGTGCATGCAAGTCGCTATATAAGTGCAATAATCTTAGACGCGACGTTAAACCCCATTTCACCTCACCTCATATCTATTTCCTAAATAAAAGCGACGAAAACTCTTTCTATAATCATAATAAATCATGCTAAAAGCAGAGTCCATTGTACGATTCCGACATTACCATCACTAGATGATACCAGGTGTTCACGAAACACAAACACATGCAATGACAAGTCAATTGTTTACCCGAACACAATACGGGAACATACAGTACAAGTTGAAATAAGGAATTGAATCGGACATCATTTTATTCAATGGGAGGGCGGTCGGGTAGCCCAGTGGTTAAAGCGTTCGCTCGTCACGCCAAAGACCCGGGTTCGATTCCCGACATGGGTACACTATGTGAAGCCCATTTCTGGTGTCCCCCGCCGTGATATTGCTGGGATATTGCTAAAAGCGGCGTAAAACCATACTCACTCACTCACTTTAGTCAATGGTGCGTCAAGTCTGGAAATTTCCTCCACACGTCTAATACAAAACACCCAACAAATGATGATGGACAATACCCAAAAAGACCATAACATTGTCATTGACAAACGTCTGACTGAATAAACACCGATTAATGAAGTTTAACAAAAGAACAGTGCTATATATAAACTCCTTGAGAACAAGTGGGAAAAGGTCAAACTATAGACGGGTGAAGCGTCTACTTGAAAGCTAGTTGTCTACTAGCATGATTAGTCCTTCATCACAGACGATGATATATAATCCGATGGTCAAGAGAGCATGTGACCATATATGACACCGACCAGAAGCCATTAAACCAATCAGAGCGCTGCTTTCCTTTACTGCCGAATAGCCTGTCACTTTGGGTAACATGTATATAATCAACCATAGTGTTTATTCCAATGGGGATACCCCACTATAGAGTCACGCTTGTTCTCGCCGAGTTAATGAGACTTTACGAGCTTTCCTCGATCTGTGAGTTGGGACAGTTTAAAAGCTTTCCAACCATTCGTGTAATTAAATAGATATAACGCTGTTGTCAGTTAATTTCGCTATGGAAGTTCTGTGTTTAGGCATTTTAAATGCCCGTGCATGTGTCACGACTTTAATTCGCTCTTGGAATTAGTTTACAACAGAATGAAACGATGACTTGGGAAAATGAATGGGAATAAGCCCGACCACCGTCCATCCGAATGATTGGCTTCCGTACTACCAGGCTTTAGGATTAAGGATATCTGCCTGTTTGTTTTCAGTTGGCTGTGAAACTGGTGCGTTGGTGTGTTCTGACGTCATTTGTTACTCGTCGATGGTAACCTATGCAGCCGGGATTCGTTGTCACATCGTCAACGATTCAGCGCGTCACAGCAAACGACTTTTAAATCTCATTTTATGACAGCCCCAAATGCTTAGAACAAACATGAAGCACAGTTTAGCTCATTTTTTAACCACATGAGACGCTTTGGAGACGTCAGAAACCGTGGGGTTGAATTTCAGATTTACCCAAGTCATGTTTCTAGGGTTGTCAGCACTATACCTGTGCTGTGGGTTTCAATAAAGCAGTCGGATTTACCCAAGTAATGTTTCTTGGGTTGTCAGCACTATACCTGTGCTGTGGGTTTCAATAAAGCAGTCAGATTTACCCAAGTCATGTTTCTAGGGTTGTCAGCACTATACCTGTGCTGTGGGTTTCAATAAAGCAGTCAGATTTACCCAAGTCATGTTTCTTGGATTGTCAGCACTATACCTGTGCTGTGGGTTTCAATAAAGCAGTCTACGAAGACCTGCATCACTTCTGGCTTTTATCCCACACCAAGCTGAAAAACTGTTAAAATCAGCGTTAAACAAAACAGCCTCACTCACTCACTCTTCAACGAGGATGCTCCTACACTATATAGGGGTCACGGGTGGCCCAGTCGTCTAAGGCGCCGCGATTTGCTGTGCAGAGTTGCGTCCCTTGGACACGCCAGAAACCTATGATTGTGGGTTCGAATCCCGGTTCCACCCGATCATGTTTCTAGGTTTGTCAGCACCATACCCGTGCTCAGGTAAACGTCTGAGACCTGCATCACTTAGGGCTTTCCTCCCACATTAAGCTGACACGCCGTGGTATAACTTGAATACTGTTAAAAGCGGCATTAAACCCAACTCACTCACTCACTCACTCCTACACTCTAACCTCCTTGCGTAATAACACGTCAGTGTTAACTTGCTGTGCTGACACTACGCTGCCCGTGACCACAACATTAAAGTACAGCCCAGTGGTCTAAGGCACCTGACCCGCTGTACCAAACTGAATCCATTATATATGCCAGTATCAGGTGATCGGTGGTTCGAATCTGAAATGACTATAATTTTTGGTTTATCAGCGCCATGTCTTTCAGTGATCCATTAACATTATTTAACAGCTATTTCGCCTGTTAAGCCCAATGGAATCTGTTTCGGATAATCGAAACTGGTTATTCTCTGTCTTTGACGTTTAAATTTCCAAGTAGTAAGCGTCAGTGACCCACGACTTCTACGGCTTTCATCCATCTGTTTGGGCAAATCATAAGGTTTAACAGCTAGTTTTCCCCACGGACCGACTTAGATGGTAAAAAGTTCAAAAGCTGTGTGAGAAAACGAGATGGTATTGTCACGTTGTAGCTACTCTCAAAATCAGCTGGTGAGTTGCGGTGAAATGGGGTTTTAACCTTGTGTTCAAGACTATTGCACTTATATAGCCTGTGTATGTTATTGTACGTCTGAGTGTATGT